AAAAAGTTATTATTAATAAAATTTTTTTTATAAAAGATATATAATAAAAATTTTTATATTTAAATAAATTTCAATATCTAATAACTTAATAAAATTAAAATTTTATTTTAAAAAAATAATTTATTAATATTTTTACCAGATTTATTAAGAGACTTTTGTTGAATCTCTCTTACTAAAAGTACTTATTGACAACTATTATTTATCTGAGATATAAATATTTTTGTATTAATTTATACTTATAAAAAGTAAAATATATAAGCTTTTATAAATTAAAATTAAGTTATATTATATATTTAAAAAAATTTTTATAATAAAATATTATTTTATATATAATTAAATTATAATTAATAAGAAAAATATTAAAATAAACCAATATTTAGAATTAAAATTATTAAATAAAAATAAAAATTTTTATATTAAGTATTTTATTTATTAATTAATAATATAATTTAATATAAATATATAAAAATATTTATTATAAAATTTTTTAATATTATATAAAAATATCTTATTATAATAAATTTTATTTAATTGAAATATTAATTATAACTAAAAATAAATTCAGTATTAATTATAATAAATTTACTTTATTAAACTAAATTTATTAATAAAATCTTAAATAAATTAAATTTTTTATTAATAGTACTGATTACTTTGATATAATAAAATTATTTTATATAAATATTTTAAAAATAATTTTAATATATAATTTTTAATTATATTATATAAAAATATATATAATTAATAATTAATTTTTTATAAGTTTAATATAATAAAATAAATATATTTTGAATTTTAAATCTAAAATTTTAAATATATATTTATTATATATTTAATAATATATTTATTTAATATGAATCTTAAAATTTATTTTTTAAAAGCAAAAAATTTTATTTTATTTATTATTAAATTAAAATATAAAAAAATATTAAAATAATATAAAATTTATATTAAAATATGCTTGTTTAATATTAAAATTATATATATTAATTATATTTTATATAAAAGTGATTATTAACTTTTATTTTTTATATATTAAGTTTTTGCACTGAATTATATAAATTAAACTAATTAAATATATTCTTAATTATATTTATATATTATTCTTGATTTTTATAGTTAAATTATTATTTTGCTTAAATAATAATATTTATTAATTAATATTCTTTTATTTTTAGATAAGATTTTTATAATTAATTAAAATATTTATTATTCTTAATAAATATTCAAATCTATTTTGAAATATTAATAAAAATTTTAAGAAAATTCTAAATATAATTCTTTCTTCATTCTTAAGTTTGAAATTAATTTTTAGTTTTTTTAAGTTACAATTTTCTCTTTTTATAATTATGCTCTTGAGAATAGCAAAAAGTATGAAAAAGAAATTGTACTATATAGAAATCAAATAAAAAAATATAATTATAGAGAGGATGTAATTATATAGGAGATAATCAAATAAAAGACTATTCTAAGTGCATCCCTCTTGGAACAATAATAAAAAAAAAGCAAAGTGTGCTTTTAGAAGAGGGAGAACAAAATGTATAGGGCTTATAAGCTGGAACCAGTGTACTGGAACTTTTAGATATATGTGACTTCCCGCATTGTATCACTAATTAAATTGCAGTAGAATTTTTCCGATTTCCATCACGAAATGTCACACAAAACTAGGGATCAACTCATTAAATACTTTGTTAACGGATTGTTGGTCTATTCGTCGAAAAAATTAATAATGTTTCTTTTCTCTTTTTCATCACGACAAAGTTTATTGTGCAGTGCGCGTTCTTTGTTGCTGGGTATTGTTTGAGTAAACATAAACAGTATTATTATCTCAATAAATCATGATTCTTTAAATTTTTCTATCTTTTTTTTTGTATGGACTTATAGCCAACAAAAGAAATCTTGTTTCAACCACTGCTGGTATATTATTGATTGATAATTTTTCATTTTGCGCATTTTAAGTCTATTATTTTATATGCTAATTTTTTTCGAACATGATACAGCTAATAAGCAATTTGTGGTCATAGGTAAACTCTTATTATACCGAATCAAGTAAATATTACTTTCATTCATGCTCTAATTATAAAATAATCGAATTTAGCACATGATTATTCCGACGCAGAAGCATTATCTCGACGTTTATCAGTTCGTGAAGCCCATTTAGTACGTGCTAAAGAATCGAAGGAAAAAGGAATAATAATATTTGGTGGGGCACTACTAAAAAGCGCAAAGACGGATGATAATGCTGATGTTGATCGTGGCGATAGTAGAAGCGGCGACGCGAATGGTGAAGCAAAAGAAATTATGAATGGTAGTCTATTCGTATTAGAGGCGGAAACTGTACAAGATGTTTATAAATTTGTTGAGCAAGATCCGTATGTTACCGGAAATGTTTGGGAACGAATCGTCGTTCTACCTTTTAAGATGTAATGTCATTTTTTGTCCCCGATGTCTTTAAAAGTAGATTTATTGTTATTAATTAATTATTGATCTTTTTTAGGGCGCTTAAGTAATGAAAGCTGAAACAAGAAATAAAGTTTCACCCTTTATCCTTATCTGTAAATTTTTATTTTTGGTGTAAAAAGATTAACGTTGAATTTTATGGTTATAAATTAAATTTTTTCTCATCATTCAAATCTTATTCGGCTGATAATTTGACCTCATTACAGTCACAAACCTCTTTAAAGTCACATTTTCTTAGGTCATGGTGTGATGATAGGGAAGTTCGACTGTAAATAATAAATAATAAACATGCAAACTTGAAACATTTAGGAACACGTTTGAAAAACGTGGCGGGATAAATGATGTTCCACGACGACGACTATGACGTTAATGATTGCTTTCAAAATTTAAATATATGAAACAAGACAAGTCTTATAAGCTTGCCGTGAAAAATTCTTATTTGAATTTCCAAGATAAGCTTATAACTATTCTAATAAAAGAAAAAACACCTAATGTTCGAATCTCCCGGGTAACCAAAAAAAAAGCTTGTAACCATAACGGTTCTCATCGTCGCGAAGTACCATTGTGTACATTGCATTGGACATATATGAATAAAAATTAAAAATAAAAATTTCCATACATTACACAAAATTCAAAAGCAATGCGAGGTTATTTATTATTTATTGAGCAATTAATTAAATTAAAATGCTAACAAACGAATAATTGTAAACATAATTATTAAACTTACCGCTATCAAGTAATAACAATACATGTAATTTTTTCCTTCCTTGGCATTCATAATTGATATAATTGATATTTAACTTCATTATTCCAAAATACAACAATACATCCCATCTCATGCCATCTTCGCTAACCACCTAACATTCCCTCTCCCCCCCCTCCAACGCATAAATTTCCCTTTAAAACAAGGTGCAATAGAAGAACAAAAAAATTCTAATTCGATGCACGTTATTATCATTATTGTTTTTCGCTTCACCTCTCACATCATCCTTCTCCCAAAACGGTCATAACTAAATATCGCAAATATAGCTCAAATAATAGTAAATATTAATTTTCTCAAAAATTAAAAAAATAACCTAAAAAATAACCGTCAAAAAAATAATAATAATGGCCGTTGACTCAACCACCACCACCACCATCACCATGACCTCGACATGTCCCTCCTTCTCCTCATTTACGAAAAACCTTCAAAGTAAGTGTATATAATTTTTTTCTATTCGCAAAAAATTAGATGTTTATCTCCGCATACACACATACATGTATCCATGTAGCATTTCTATTTCTAAATTTTCCCAGCAACCAAACGTCTGGAAAAATATTAATTAAATTTAAATTTAATATTTTCGAACTATACACTTTCACATATTTTGCATACTGCATCTTCGGTCATTTAATCAGTCTGTGCGTTATTGTGCGCTCGTTCGCATATCCATCTTTTGTAGCGTACTAGTAATAGCATAGTAGTAAAGAACTCATCTCACTCTTTTTTCTCCGCAAACCTCTCCACAAACTCTCATAAAATCCCCCCGCCAATTCCACGCGTTTTACCCTCCGTATTTTTTATTAATAACTTACTCACTTTTTATGGTAGACGTTCTTTACATTTCACAACGGGCTGCAAACTCCATAATAGCGGGTGTTGCACCTTACCGCATCTCATCTGAAGCACTACAAGCAATCAACAATTTTCTTGACGAATTCTTGTATTATCTCATCGATGCAGCACATTCTCTAGACCTGGTTCGAATAAAGACGGCGATCAGCACCGTGCTTCCAACCAGCGTCGGGAAAAATGCCGTATCAGAAGCAGAACTAGAACTAAAAACTTATGTAGAGAGCGGAAATTCAGATAACACCAAAGAGCGAACGATAGAAATCACACCGTTCCCACTACAAAAAGTATTCGAACAATTTCGCATCAAGTGTCAGTATTATAGTACCCTGGGTGACCGGGAAGGCGACGACACGGAAAACGCCGTTCCCGATTTGTGTCCCTCTTCGGATGGCATACATATTGCGCCGAGTTTGGCTATCTATTTGACAGCTGTATTGGAGTATGTCGGGGAAAATATTTTGTTCCTGGTGGCGAAGACTTCGGAAAAACACAAGGTTGAAGTGGCGAAAGCTAGAGAAGTTTACACTGCTTTATCGGAAGACCCACAAATTTCTCCTTTGTTTCTTCGAATGGATCTTAAGGCACAAATGGAGGTAGGTGATCGTTATTATGCATGCACGTGTAGTTTAAAAAAATTCATTCATTTATTTCATTGATTAATTAATTAGGCACAAAATGGATTTACGAGTAAATCGTCATCCGTGCAGAACTCAATATGTAGGTACTTTTTTTATTTGGTTATGATTTCCTTACCATAATTAGCTCATTTAAAGATAGCATACATGATATTATATATCATATCTGACTATTATCACTTATATTTTCTACGAGAATAGCTAAATATGGAATGACGCCTGTGAATGGTTATTCGCCATCATCGCCAACTCGTACTTCCCTCGACTCCGCGAAATCATCTCGTTCCGGACCATCACTAAACAAACATCATCGTCATAATGGAAGCGGTGATAGAAAAGAATCAGTTGATGAAATGAGCATGAATGGAAGTAATGGATCATCATATAGTCGAATAAGCATGGAACTTAAGAGTCCAAGATCAACAAAAAGTTCTAGTGAAAAGGAAAGTGATATGAGGAGTGTTTCTAGCTTGGTATGAAGTTGACCTTTGTCCCTTTGATGTTTTCTCGTGAACTGACCGATAAAAAAGCACTTTGATCTAATTATCTATTTCTATTATAAATTCAATAGGAGGATTCTGGAAAGATGAAAAATTTCGACCAATTATTAACTGGAAGCCAAACAATGAAGGTTTCTTTAACTCCGAATCGTCTAATAACTATTGAGGTAAGTTTAGTGTTATGATTGAATGAATTCATAATTTTGTGTAATCAAGAATAAACATGCGTCTTTTTGTGATAACATAGACGCATAAAAGACCGCCAAAACTTGCACCTCGAGAACCTGTTTCAAGGGAACGGATAATTCAACCAAGTGGACCCACAGTGCCATCTAATAATAAAATAGATGAATCGGATGATTTAGACGACGATCTTTTTCCACAGAAAGGCCGTAAACAGGATAAAGAAAGCTTATATGAGTTCTTGAAAAACACAAGTCCGGATGATGTATTAGGTAATAAATCCAATTTCAAGAATAAATCAGCAACAAGACGCGTAAAATCGATCGATCAATTAGAGCCTGTACCAGAACAAAGACCCACTAGTCCAAAATATGTTTCTCTAATCGCCACGGCATCATCCTTGCCATCGTCACCTTCATATTCATCTGGACAACATAGGAAGGTATCACCTGGGCCGCTACATAAAAATGTGTCGGGATTAGATCGCTCAAATAGTAAAGCATCAATGTTGTCGAGTAAAAGTGCCGGAAATCCCGACACGAGATCATCAATAAGTATATCATCACCTACAGTTCCTAAGACTCGGCCAAAAAAATTAAATCTGAATGAAGAGGAGGATGATGATGACGATGATTTATTTTTACCTGATGGAGCCAAAAAGTCTAAGCGAAGACACCAAGCCCAAGATCTGATGGATTTCTTAGCAACAACACCTCCGAGTGAAAAGACATCATTTTCGCAAGCTGATTTACCACCAGTTATAAATAATGGTGGTAAAAAGAAGGAAAAAAAATTTAAAAAATTCTTTACTCGGTTCAGGAAATCGTCATTCTCTGATGATCAAAGTCTCTATGAACAACCACTGACAAGGCTTTCTAGTTTAAATAGTTTGGGAACATCGAATGTTCCCTCAAGTGATAACTTGACAAAAACTAATAAACCACCTCGGTATGTGAAAATCGAGATTCCTCCGTTACCTAAAACCGAAGAAAAACAAGAGCCAAGTATTTTCGATCAGGTTGAAATTCAAGGTCGTCATGCACGACATTTATCCAAAACAATTTCTCTAAATTCACCAAGAAGTGGACACAACACACCAAATAAGGCCACATTCAGTTCAAATGAACGTAAACCATTATTGACGTATACAGGAATATATGACGAAGAGTATGAGGATACGCATGATAAGCATGATAAACGTTCAACAGCACGAAGCTCAATTATGGCTGGTTCTGGCTTTAATACCCCAACTAAAGATTCATACAACACCAAGAATGAATATCTAAATCAACAAAATACATCTGCACTAAAAACACCACCTCCCTCTCCTTCAAGAAACATTTCAAATTCCCCAAAAGCATCTTCACCACAGCAGACAAGTTATAACATACCAATATCTCAGCAACGAGATAATTCTACGCGGACAATTTCTCATGAAGATCAAACGGAAATGATGAGAAATTCAAGTTCGCAATCAACACCGCTTGAATCAGAACAATTTATAGCAAGAGCTAAATCGGTACCTCATTCTTCAATATTAGTTTCCACCGTAACAACAAAGATAAAATCAACTAGTGTAATAAATAATATCGAAGAAACAAAATATAATAATCATCATAATCATGATGAAATCCCTTCATCAATTAATGATATCAACATTAATGAAAATTATAAATACTCTGAAAATGCATCACCGGTAACCATCACAATAACACCCGTAACTCAACGAAAATTGACTGACGGAAGTCCATTAATTGAAGAGTCAGCGGAAATTGTCGATACGAAAGAAGTGTCTTCAGAAGTTGTTTGTGAAAGTGTTATTATTGACGAAGGAGAGGAGGTAGAGCAAGTGGATAAAGAGAAAGAGAGAGAAGAGGCGCTCGTAGTTGAATGGTTATTGGGTACTGGTTTTGGTTTTGGTTTCAAGAACAATATTACATATCTCGATGTTGTCGATATTGAAGATGGTGGTGTAACAGACGAGGACGAATACGTTGAAGCTGTTGATGACAGTGATTCGGTCATGGATAATATGAATTATTATCGAGATTCCGGAAGTACTATCAATGCATTATAAACAAAATATATAATTATTTAATGGGAAAATAGAATACTTAAATGGGGGCAAGAAAAGCTTTTTTTTACTTTTTTTATTTATTTCATTTTTTTCTTAATAAATGTAGAATAATATTATTATCATTTATATCTTAATGTAATTGTTTTTTGCCATCATTTATATATACACGCACACACACACCATCTTTTATCTCATGTCTTGTATTCTTTAAAAATATGTTCGTTGCATTTCTTCAAATTATTATGTATTTTTGGTTTTCCTTTTTTTTCCCAAGTCCCTTCATACCATTTTTATCCATCAAATATTAATACACGTCATATTTATTATACACATGCACATCTAATAAAAGTAGTTTAGATTAAATATCATGTATATGAAAGCTGAATAAAGTTCATATAGCAAGCGAATTATATCTGCTTACTATCAAAACATAGTTTTTAAACACGATATCTCAATAACTGGCAATTGTAATCGAGTGAAATACATTCCGATTTTTCTTGTTGAGACAAAACAGTGCAGATTATATGATAGAATCCTAATGGAAAATTTTTGAAAAATTACAAATTTGCACCTCGCCGTTGAAGAATTGTCCACCGTCAGAAATTGCATCATTAAAAGAGAAGTATTATTTTATAATTCAATGTGATCAATAAAAATTTTGTGTGTGACTGAATTCATCAGTGAACATAAGGCTTTTTAAAAGCTACATATAATTTTTAATTATCTAACACACTTTCCTCGAATTTCACTATCAAAATGTTCCCATACTTTGCCAAGAAGGGTACACAGTTCGAGAAATCACAACACCAGATTCAGTCATATGCATCCGCAAGAAAAAGCTTTGAAAACCTTGCTATTCACACTCTCAATATGAGCAGACAAAGAAATATTGAATTGGATAGTTAATGATTGGGAATGAATAATTTGATCTGACAAAAGCAAATATCAATATTTTAATCAGATAAAGTTGAAAACAATATGACAAATCTTCAATATTAATATATTATACCAATAATAAAGTTTGATAATATAAATTCAAAAAAATCAAATATAAATATTTATATTAATATATTAAATACAAATATGTTAGATTTACTTTTGAAGGTTATATGAAAAAGAATGAAATTCTTTTTTAATAAAATAATAATTTGAAATTTTTCAAAAAAGCAAAAGATTGATTTATTATATATTTGTGAAATAATATTTTTCTGCATATTATTTCTAGTCTTTGTAATTATTCTAGGTATATTATATGTATTATTTCTGAAATAATATATCAAAAAATTAAATTTATTAATAAAAATAATAGAAATTGAAATTTCTTTCTATATCAAACTTTAATAAATAATTTTATTTTGATATCAAATTAAAATTCAAAATTATAATTTTAGATTTTTTTTAAAAGAATTATTCTAATTATAAAATTTTTATTAATAAATTTTATTTTTAATTAGAATAATTCTTTCAGAAAAATCTAAAAATAATATATTTTAAATTTTAATTTTGAATTTAAAAATAAAATTATTTATTAATAAAATTATAAAGTTTATATAAAAAAAATTTTTAATTTATATTATATTTTATTATTAATTTTAATCTTTAATATATTTATTATTTTTAATTATTATTGTATATATAATTATATTAGTTTTATTTAAATCTAATATTAATATATTAATATAATATAGAATTAATAATAAAATATTTTAATATAATCTGATATAAAAAGATTAATATATTAGATAAATATTAATAGATTATTTTTTCAAATAAAATTTTAATTCTGTCTTATTTAATTAAGTTATTAAGTATTAAAATTTATTTAAATTTAAAAATTTTTATTATATATCTTTTATAAAAAAAATTTTACTAATATAAACTTTTTTGAATTTTATTTTATTAAAAAAGAATTTCATTCTTTTTCATATAACCTTCAAAAGTA